GTGTCCCTTGACCTATTAGAACAGTGAATTTAGAATTATTAGGAGAGAAAAAAATGGAATTATTAGGAGAGGGTATTTTAGTTAGCATACACTATATGAAGAAAAACCTCCCTGTATTTCACCATTTAAAAATAAGATGCTTGATGTGGTGGTACCTGTCGCTGGGATTACCTGTCGTAATCCCAGCACTTGGGAGGCTGAGGCAGGAAGGGTGCCATGAGTTGGAGGCCGGCATGAGCTACACAGGTAAGTCCAAGGCCAGCCTGGAATACATAGTAGGACCCTGTGTCAGAAAAACAAAGTTACAGGGACTGGTGAGATGGCTCAGTGGTCTAAAACCTACTTAGAACAAGCTTAGCAAAGCACAGGGACCACTGGGGGTTTAAACCCCCAGCACCACATGCCAGCCAGCCCCGCCCCCTGGTGGGCTGAGCTGGCCACACACACACACACACACACACACACACACTCTTAAATAAATAAATAAAATTAAATTAAAAAAGCAAAGTTACAACAACAAAATTAAAAACAGAACAAACATTCTTTAACTGACCAAACCTGTAGTCCCATTGCAGTGGTGGCTCGAGACCAGAACTAACAAGGGCTTCGGCACAGGCTGCTTGGTTGTGTCTGGCAGAGGTACGCCGTCACTGGGTTTAGCCCGCCAGGCAGAAAGGCAGGGAGGCCCGGGCTGGGTGGAGTCTGGGCAGGGGAAGATGCACATGATGGTGTGCAGGGCCCTTCCGGGCAGCTCTGGGGATTTGGACAGAGGAGGGTGGGTCGCCCTGGCAGCTGTTTTTTGGGGAGTGTGAGAACCCAAGGTCGGGCAACAGCAGTTGTCAGCAACAGGCAGTCAGACAGGAGCACAGGAAGCTCTGGGAAAAAATAATATTGTTCATGCACAATGGACATATGTATGTTAAAAAAATAAAAAACGGGCTGGCAAGATAGCTCAGTGGCCTAAGTGCCTGCTTAGGCAAGCGCAGGGACTGGGGTTTGATCCCAGCACCACATGCTGCGCCGGCCCTGCCCCTGGGTATGCTGAGCAGGCAACTGAGGCTGGGTGTGGTGTTGCACACTTGTAATCCCGGCACTGGGCAGGCTGAAATTAGGAGGGTCACCACCGAGTGTGCGCTGCGTAGTGAGACCCTGTACCCAAAAATACAAAACAAAAACACCCTCCCCGTGCTGCCTTGTCAAGGCTGGCAATGAGTAAGCTTGTGTCCATGCATTCCGGGGCGAACTGCCTGGCCCCTAGTCATTCACTCTTCTCTGCACTTTCACACCTTCTGCTGGCTTTGGCTGGGCCTTTCATGGTTGACATTAACATACACTGTTTTTGTCTGTAAAGGTATGGTGGCCTCAGCCAGTGTCCTGACAGCTTGGGTGGATGCCCCTTTGAGACAGCTGTCAGCATGGAGGGACGGAGGCTGCCTTCTCTTCCTGTTGTTTGATGTTCTCCTGTTCTAGATGTTTTCAGTGGCTAGCCAGATGTATCGGCTATTTTCAGTGTTTTGCAGTTGCTTGTCAACTGTTAACCAAAGAGCATGGTATGAAACCTAGATAAAAAGCAAAGCTTTTAACGGAAGAAGTGGAAGAGTAACTAAGTGTGGTAATATGCATGCCCATGATCCCAGCACTCAAGAGGCCGAGGCAAGAGGATCACAAGTTCAAGCCCAGCCTGGACTGTCTCACACGACACTAAATCAGAACAAAGTGAAAGGATGGATGATTGATGATCACTAAGTTGTCCTCTGGCCAGGGAACACTTCAGCTCATTTGGACAGAGGGAGAGAAACTCTTGTGATCCATATACTAAAAAATGCCACCAAGTACAGACATTCCTAGCAAGGTTCTCCTGTCATAAAATCTGACTTGAGCAAGAGTAGGTGCTGGGGAATGTATGCACTGTCTTCACTTGCCAGCCTCCCACCCCAGTCAGCCTGTGTGGAAGCCATGTGACGCATGGGCACCAAGGGATGATTTTGCTGGGCACTGACAGGGGTCACTTTGTGCCGAGGGACTGGGATACGGGGACAGTTTTAGGTCAGATGTGATGGGGGAGCTTCTGGGTGTAGGTGCTGTCAGCCTGCCTCGGGAATGATGTCCGCACAAGCCAGAGGAGTCCAAGCAGGAAGGGGCCCTGAGGCTGAGGGCGGTGGGCCAGTGCCTGTGACCCTCAATGGGAGCACCACAGTCCAAGATGGAAGTGGCTTTGGACTGGATTAGATGGGTTGTGGACAGCAGGCTAGTGACCAGGCATAAAACAGAGCAAGAGAGGACCTTCTCCATTTGTTCAGAGCCTCAGCCAGTGGTTTTTAAGTACCTGCTGTGGCCCAGGAGCTCTGCTAGGTACCGAGGGTAAAAGGACACCACCTGGTCCCATTCTGGGAGGAGCTGCACGTGGTGTGGCGGGGAGCGGGCTGGTTCTCAGTCTCAGGTCATCAGTTCAGTCAGGAGGCTGCTTCTGGAGGGCTGCGGGGGAGAGCCGAGAAGGTCTGGGGGGGCCGCGCCTTTGACCAGTGGGGGGTCTGACCATTCTAGCTGCAAATTTAGTTTCTTCCCCAGAACCAGCTTCAGACTCAGCTCTTGTCACTTCACTTCAGTCACAATGGGAAGTTGATGACTTTCGGAATTTGGTAATCTGACTCACTCGGTCTTTCCCAGTTAATAAAATGGAATTTTCTCATGGGCCTCCATACGCTTTGAGTTTGCACCCTGCAGCGGTTGGCGGTAGGCTATCATAGATGGTTCCTCCTCTGAGCCAAACTTCAGTGAAAATGCAGTTTTCCAGATAGATCCTGGACACTGAACTATTTTGGCTTGAGAAGGAAGCAACTGGGCAACTCTCTAACATCCCAGAAGACCACCCCCTCTGGAAGCCTGCTTTGGCTGCTGTTCGGCTAGGACAGTGGTCACTGGGTGAGCTTATCACAACCACCTGGAAGACTTTTTGGAACCTGAATTTCTGGGCTCCACCCTAGTTTCTACCACACTGGGCAGGGCCTGGGGACTTGGATGATAAGGCATCCTGGGACTGGTGGTGCTGGTGGTACTGGCTGGCCTTTGAAAAGCTCCAGTGTAAGTTAAACATCCCTGGAATAGGAACTTGGGGTTCTTGTTACCCTGTCCTTTAGTGTGGCTCCAGGACTTGGGCAGCACACTCCTTTCCCAGCTTCCACCAGAGCAGGAACAAGTGTAAAGATGCAAGGTGGCCCTAAGGGAGGGGAGCCTTCCTGTTATCCCCACAAGGATTCAGACCCATCTAGTGCCTGTGCACATTGCAGCGGGCTGGGCCCTGACCCTTGGCTCCCCTCAGCCTCAAGGTGGAGCCCTGGGTTCATGCCCAGCTTCAGTAGCCAGCTGACCTGTCTGGACCTCAAAAGGGATCAGCCTTGTCCTCCATCCCACTAGTTTCTGCTCGGGCCCTTCTGTGAGAAGCCTTGCACCCTCAATGTGATCTGGAAATAAGGTTGCTAAGTTTCAGAGACAGCCTGAGGAAGCCAGGGGCACCCAGAGAGTCCCCAGCCCCAGGATGCTCCTGGTCTTTGTGCCCATGGCCATGGGAATGATTAATGGATGTCCTCCACTCTGCCGGACAATTAAGGCAAGCAGGAGAATGAGGGAAACATCTTCAGTTAGACCTAATTTGGCACCATATTGTTTTCTGTTAATCTATTTTGTTTTCTGTCCGTCTGTCCCAAGGGATGGGTGCCTTACTGCTTGCTGAAGCATGCATAACTAATGTCCTCATTAAGCGCTGATCTGTTTATCAGGGCCATGCGAGGAAGCCAGCCTGCCAAACCTAGACCCAAGCTGGGGCTGTTACCTCCCTCTGGGCCTTAGCCCCACCTCATTAAGCTGGTCCGGGCTATTGATTGGGAGCCTGTGTTTGGAAGAGTCTTACTTACTCCATGCATTATCTTGACAGATTGATCAGACCTGATTGAGAACCTCTTAAAGGAACGAACAGCTGTAATGGGAAAGTTGGACTCTGTCATCCGTTAGGATGATTCTGGGAGCAAGAAGAACAAGGCTGACATCTTGGAGCAATTGTATTTACAATTAACATGGCTGAAAACGATTGCCTCTATTGATCCCCCTTCCTGCAATTACAGCCCCATTGTTTACATTCCAGCACTTCAGTTATAAAAAGGAAATTCAATAATTATTGCATTATTTAAAGTTAAAGTGCCACAGAGTTTGCTGGCTGCGCTTGCTGGTTGATTTAACGTTCAGTAAAATCCATGCTGAGCTCTCCATCTTGAGGCCGAACAATATCGGCTTTTAATGAGACTTAAAAAGGGGGGGAAGGAGAGCAAAACTCCATGCACAGGGTGTTTGTCTGGGTTATTTATGGGGGGCGCCCGAAAGCGCAGCTGAGAAAGGAGCCATGTCATCCTTTGCGAAGCCGCGTTCCTCTCGCCATGTGGCTGCCCGCCCCACAGACGGCAGCGTCCTGGCCTCGTGGCTCACGTGTTCTCAAAGAAGCACTTTTCCCTTTGGACCCCTGTTGGTCCCTTGTCCCCCTCCCACAGATGTGACTGTCCTCTCCAACTCTGGGCAAACCCCATGGAGTTTAAGGGTAAAGAGTGAGATGTCAGCTATAGCCAGCACAGTCACTGCAGAAGGCATTTGTTGAGAGTAGGTTTCCCTCCTGTGCCCCTTCTCGCTCTCATTTTCTCTTTCAAGGGAGAAATAAAATAAAATTTAAAAACCAAGTACCGCCTAGGAGGAACAAACCAGCCCTGTGGGCGCCCTGGCACACAGGCTGCCCCTGTCTTCTCCCAAAATGAAGGTGATGAGGGCATTTGTCAGCAAATCATGGGAAGCCAGGAGGAGCCTCTGACTTGGAACCCCAAATCATGCTGTCTGCAGCAATAACCAGAAAGTTTGAGTGCATGGCGGGAACTTTAAAAACCATTTCATTTTTCTCGGATTTGGCTGAAAGTCTTGCGCAGGCACCGTTTCAATAAGACATCTGGACATGTGTGCCCAGCAAGGTGTAGAGCAAGGGGGAAAAGCGATGCCTCGTGCTCTGCCATCAAGAGTCACGCTTCCTGCCACAGCCCGGCGAAATGGTCGACTGCAGGTGTGAAAGGGGAGGCAAAGAAGAATAGAGCCAGTGCTGACTTTTATGAAGTATCTGGAGCAGGCCAGCGGTGGGCAGCTGTTTCCATGTGACTTTTTCAGGAAGGAGGTGAATTCTTATGTGCAGACATTGCATGATTTATCCAGTGCACTTTGGTGGAATCTGAAATACTCTTTGGGAAAAGGCAAGTGCAGAGGTTTTAGGTCTTAGGAGCTTTCTTCGCTCTAGAGGGGTGTCTCCGTGTACTTGTCTTGCGGCTCTTTTCCATGGAGTTGCTTTCCAAGCCACCAAACTGTCTCAGTCTCACCTAGGAGAAAGACAAAAATACACATTCTTGGGCTTCACCAGACCTGTGGAATCAGAGCTCTCCGGGCTTGACAACACATGGTGTAACAAGACCTCCCTTGTGGGGTTCTGAGATGGGCTCAAGTTAGAGACCCACTAAGCTGGCCCACCCATTGCATCAGAGATTGCCATACATGGCATTGGAACCCCTTTTGGAATGACACAACCACATCTGGGCTCACCAGGGTAGGGATACTTTCACAGAGCCAAACATTTGGGTACCGTGTGTGTGTGTGTGTGTGTGTGTGTGTGTGTGTGTGTGTGTGCGCGCGCTCGCGCTCTTGCACTTGCCAGGCAGGTGCTACACTGTTGAGCTGTATTTCCAGCCCTGGGTACATCTTTCAAAGAATTTTCAGGTGTTTCTCTTACAGTTTTAAAAATGGCCTTTTATCTTTCAGAAAAAGGATAGGGCAAGTGTAAACATCTGCGTTTAACAGGTGAAATAATGCACACGCTTGGACTACCAGGCGGGCATTCCCCCCTGGTCTGTGGATCATCACGGGGTTGGATATAAACAAGCAGATCCTTCAGAGTGGATTTGGAGGATCAAGAAGGTTCTCCTCGGCTGGGTGGTCCTCATCTGGGACACTGACAGATGTGGTATAGAACGTGGTCCTTGGTGTCTATCTCCCCATGCCACGGTGGGCAGGGGAATACAGTAAACATTTAATTTTGTGGTAAGAGCGTGGTATTAAGGTTAAGGATACTGGTTCTATGCTAGCAGCAGGACTTTGGGTGAGATACTTAAAATTGCATGTTTTTTGTAAGGAAGAAGTTGGCCTATGTGCTCAGTACTTCCTATTCATGTCTTAATTTCTTTATTTTTTTAATGTATTTGGTACAGGGTCTCACTATGCAGCTCAGACTTGTAGTGATTCTCCTGTTTTCAGCCTCCCCAGCACTGGGATTTCAGGCATGTGCCACCATGCCAGGTCTCGGTGGCTGGGTCAGCTGTGCCCAGAAGCGGGGCCAGTGTGGCATGTGGTGCCAGGGATCAAACCCTGGTCCCTGAGCTTGCCCATGCAGGCGCTGAATCTGCTGAGCTATTTCACCAGCCCTCCATGTCTTAATTTCTATGTAACACCTTTCTTTACTGTCAGTCATGACTTTCTTTTTGGGATCTAGGAAGGATGGGAAATGGTTATAAGGAAGGAAATGTCAAATAAGTGTCCTTCATGGGGGCTCAGATCCATCCCTACCCTTGTAGGCTTACTAATTAGGAAAAAAAAAAAAAAAAAAAAGCAAAGGTAATACTACTAATAGCTTCATTTATGATATAGGATGACCATGTATCTGGTGTTCTGTGTTATAAATTTTGTGAGAATTGCCCCTTGGAATCTTCCCAGCAGTGCTGGAGGTTCTGTTACTGTCCCAGATTTGCCCACAAGGAAATTGAGGCCCAGGACTGTGTGTGACTCGCCTGAGACAGTGCATCCGGTGAGATTCAGAGAGTCCTCTGCCCAGCTGTCTTCCCCCAGGGAGCACGTTAGGCCACCACGATTGCAGCAACTTGACATGGAGTGGGGTGGGTACATGCTAGTGTCTCATGTATAGGACGACCTGTTTTGGTTTAGGGGTTTACATTTGTGAGGGCTGGGAAGCAGCGCTAGGGAAGAAATGCATCTCAGTGAATGGAGAAAGTCACTGTCACTGTCCTGGTGAAGTGGGTCATTTCAGGTCCTGGGAGCTTCAGGTTGCTTCTGGAGGGCGGTCCGCTCCATATTAGCCTTGTCCACCCGCACAGCACATGGGGCTTTGAGCTCTGTGACTCATCCCCATTGGCAGAAACCTGCCCTCTTTATGTGTGGCCCCAGGGAGGACCTGTACATACCTGAGAAACCTCTTCCCCACAGGCAGACAGTGACTCCACGCTTCTTACCAGGGTTTTCCTAACACAGAGATGTGAAATCTGTTATGCTAAAGGTTTGACAGTCCCCACGGGCCCATATTTGTATTTTTGCAGAATAGATCCAGAGCCAAGGCAGGTTCAGGCTAGAGAAGGTTTCGGACTTAGACTATTATTTTCCTTCTAGGATTTAGTGTGTGGCTCAGGGTCACCAGTGTTGTAAGTTTGCCAGTGTCATCCGGATAGAAGTGGTAGTCTCGGCTCTGACCCTGGAGCTCAGGTACTAAGCAGGAAGGAATGTGGCTTGTTGGTGTCAGGAGTCTGGCCTAGAAACCAGAAATAGGGCAGAGCCACCCAAACAGATTGATCTAGGGAGCATTTTTACTTCCTTTGGCTTTTTTTTCTTATAAACCATGGTTCGGGCTTAAATCTTATGGTGTCTGCAGAACTCCTACAGTGAAACAGGACCAAATTAGCATGTGCCAAGGACAAGGGCATGAGTGGATGAAAAGCCAAGATTAAACAGAAAAAAATATATATATTTAGGTTGACCTTTCACACATCTTCTTAAAAATGTGACATTAAATGTGAAACTAACTCAACCTCACTGATTAAAAAATTAACTGCCCTCACCCCTGGTTGCATTGCTATATCTAAAAGGTTTCTTTTTTAGGCATTCAGCGTGAATACCTGGATCTGGGGAGTCTCAGGTTACAGAAGGCCTTTGCCTCATCACTGTCACAGTTTCACAGCAGTGGATTTCAAGGCAAAGCCCAGGGTCCAGTCCTGTCGCTTTCGCCCTCTGGGAGACCTTGGGGCAGTCACATGGTCTCTTTGAGCTTGGGTTCCTCCAAGGATGTGAGGGAAACACTGCCCACCTGAGGTGGCTGTAAGAGGAAAATATAAAAGGTTATGTAGGGGCTGCAGGGTCAATGGTGTGTGTGTGCCTACAATTGTGACAGACTGCCCACTCCTGACTTCCTCAGACCTCCTGCGATATTGGGGAATTCACAAGCTGACTGTGAATTTTCATCTTTCCCTGGCCCCTTTCTTACTAGGTTTGTTGGTAATATTTTGTACCCTCTGCCCAGTGAGTGAGCCTGAGATCTATGACATGCTACACTTGGCAGGCTTTCCCTCCAGCAGAGCACCCTGATAGTGGCTTCTTCTGTTCTGAGACCTCTGGATTTGTGGCCCAAGGAGAATTGCAGGCCATGCTGTCTGCCTTTGCCTAGCTGCCCTTCAGAGCACGACAGCTTTCTCAGAGACCTTCCAGTATATCCCTGTGATTGAGGTAGCCCTAGGTACCCATTTACTGAGGGGACTTCTAGGAATCTGCCTCCCCACATCAAAGCACTTTGCCATTGTCACTTGCTGTCAGAAGATGGCTATGCTGTGATAGCCTAGGAGAGGTTGGGTGTGTGTGTGTTGACGGGAACAGGTGTTACTCCCCAAGGAAGAGACTTTTGAGAATCACAGGTGCGTGTGTGCTCATGTCAGAGTGTGCTTTGTCCACTTCAACTTTAAAGAGGCGGCCGTGTCAAAACCTGATCAATATTTGCATTCCATGCATGAAGAACCAGATGTTAGAAGTTTCCTAGTGTTGGGGAGGAGGAGGGAGCTGGGGCCTCTCCAGATTTATACAAATCGATGTTCTCTGACAGAAGTTGGTTAGTTTTCCTGGGAAACAAGTAACAGGAACACATTTTTTTGATTTTCACGATGAATTATTTTCTAACAAGAACCCTCTTTGACTTTCAGTATTTGGCTGGGGTGAACGAGCCCAACATATTAATGGGGTAGAATCCCATGAAGCCATGCAGCCTGGCCCCTCTTCCTTCCTTTCTGTTTTAATTATTAATTCACTTTTTGCCTCGCTTTACGTGCCAGGCTCGCTGTCAGAATGCCTCTGACTGCAGGAAGGGTTTTTCCTTTTCTGGGTTCTTCCCTGCAAGCCAGGCGGAGAAGGGACATCACAGAGACAGATGTGGAACCTCAGGTGTTTCCTTGTCAGAAGCTCAGAGGGTCATCTTGCAGCTGACTGCCACGAGCGCTTCTGAACTAGCTGTGAAGGGTGAGACAGGTGCAGGCGCACATGGAAGGGCTGGTGTGTTGTAGACACTTAGAACTGAACAGAAACAAATCCCACCTAGTGGGCCCTGGACCCAGCCTCCTGGGGGCCCCTGGGGACTGTGTGCTGCAGAACTAACTGCAGCTGGTTGACATTTTGTTTTGTTTTCTAGCCATACTGCCAATCTGACAGAGGAAAGAGGGAAGAATCACGAACATAAAGAGAAAAAAGTGAAATAGAACCTGCGTCTCCCTCCTCCCGGATGGGAGAGCCTTGTAGAGAGGCGGGACATCAGGGAATTCAGGATTTGTGTGGGAGAAAAATTTCCTGCCTGGCCAAGAGAGCAAGAACTCTGAAAGGAGGCAACTCTGTTATTGAGTATACCACTGGGATTTGTGCTTTGGTGGATTCTTCATATATTACAGTGAATTTAATTAAATACATTGTGATCCCAATTGAGGGTATTCTAATTAGCTGGGTCAGGAAGAAATTATTCTCCCTCCTTCTCCAGATGAAAACATCTCTGCTCTTCTGTAAGGAAGGCGTGCCGTGCCCTTGGCTATCTGACTTGCCTGTGGCATCCTCCCCTGCCTGTCCAGCCCCTGCTGCGGCTTCATGTTAGGCAGCTCTCAGGGCTGGGTTCTGGTGAGCGGAGTGGCCTGTGCCATGCAGGTGGGAGACAGGACTGGCCAGCAGGGTCAAGGGATCCACCTCCTCAGGGTTGGGGACACAGAGCTCAGGCCCCTGCTGCTGTCTGAGGCTGCTTCAGCTTGGACTTCCAAGGAGTATCAAGAGTAGGAATTATCCCACATAAAAAAGCGTCTGTAGACTCAGGTTGTAAGTACAGATTTGGGGTGAGCTGTAATCTTTCTAAAGCAAGTAATTTCTTAGAAACCTGGATAGAGTTTATTCTGGAATTTTTTTAGTGCCTAGGAGAATGAAGTTGGAGGGTAGAACAAGCTTAGAAGTTTGAATTAAGCTTCCCTGTAAGTTGCTAAGTGATGATCTTAATTGTTCCCTGTACCAACATCAGCAATAGAGAACATGGTTGTGTTTTCCTGTTCTCCATGATTTGTAGGGTATGACCATTTCTTTTTCTCAAGTGGCTCTCAAGTGACAGAAGGATGTGCAGCAGTGTAAGAGACTGCATTTACCGATATGAGCTTGAAAGTAGAGTGATTTGGGAATATTCTCATCATGTCAGTTTTTTTTGTTTTTGTTTTTGTTTTGTTTTACTAAAAGCAGGAGTTCCTAGTATGTCCATTTCTTGTTCTTTTTTTCCTTTCTTTTCTTTTTTTTTTTAATGTGGAACCGGGGATTGAACTCAGGCCCTTGTGCTTGCCTGAGAAGCACTTATTCCACTGAGCCATCTCCCCGGCCCCAGTATGTTCATTTCAATCCAGGATTTATACAGCCCTATCACCCACTCTTCTTTGGATTTGAGGACCAGAGACATTTGACATCTCAATTCCCATGCACTTCTTGTTGGCTGCCTTATCCCTCTCTGTTGGCTCAGAGATTGGAAACCCCCGCCATTTGGAATACAACTCTCCTATCCATATTGCGATTTTATTTTTTCAAATTCCATGCCTTATTGCAAGGAAATCCTGTTTCATGGGGGAGTATTGGAGCCTTGGAAGTAAGACCTCAGTGATTGTTGCTCTGATTTCATAGTTTATGACAAAACCAAACTCCTGCGATAAGGGAGCTGTTGCCTTGGACTCGTGGTTATTTTCCCTGTTAGCTTTTATTCTCTCCTTTCAATAGAAACTTCAATACATTTATTCTTTTGGAGGCCCAGAACATTCATTCAGAGGCCCAGAACAACAATTCCCAGCTCCGGCATCTCTCCTGTCCCTCATCCCAGATGAGAACCTGCTTCCCAGGACCAAAGAATTGTCCTGTGGGGCTTTTTCCCTTGCACCGCCTTGTGGAGAAGCAGAGGGACATGTCCTGGGGCAGCCTTGATCTTTCCCTCCCTTTCGCCTTGGCAGAACCCCCTCCTCCCAGGGTGCGGCCTTAGAACACAGTGTATTGGTGAACGTCATCCTCCCCAAGTCTTCCGTAGGGAGTCTTGTCTCTGACAAGGAATGCTAAAGACAAACCATTTAAAAAGCTCAAATTTATTTCAAGAAAAATAACATTTCATTGTCAGTTGCAGCTTCTCTAACGTTTAAGTTCGGGGTCTCAGTGTGAAGGGTTTCTGGTTGTGAAACCCTTCTAGGATAGTTGTTACTTGTAAGGATTTCTTCTGTGTGGTTCCAAGCACTTGTGGGTACTGACTCACCCATCAAGGTGACCGGGATTGTTCTCCCTTGGTGCCTGTGAAGCATTTCGCATCCACACTTGAGGTGGGCACAGTTTCTTGTGGAGCGTGTTAGCCAGTTTGAAGGCCCTATACTCCCTGCGAATTGCTGTGGCACCTAATTGGGATATTCCTGCTGCTTCTGCCAACAAGGGTACATGTACTCTTGGGTTCTCAGGCTCTGTGAGTGCAGGTTGGATGTAAGCATGTGAGTGTGTGAATCTCAGAACAGTGTCATCTGCTAGGAAGGACTTCCAAGGACAGTCTTGCTGGAAGTGCAGGACAATCCAACTGCTCTGGCTTCCCAGCATGAGAGCCTGGGCAGGGGAGATATCCTGGCAGCAGCTGAAACCCTGTGTTAAGCATGAGCAGCGAACGGGTCCTCTGTGGGTCAGAAAGGAGGTGAGGGACTCTCTCCATACTTGGATCACTCCTCAGGCCACACTTGGGTGACTGGAGTTGAGGCTGGGTGGTAAGGGAAAAGGGGGAAGGATAAGATCGCACATCATCCGAGTTCCTTCCTCCAGGAGCATTTTGGGTACTTGGCATGGGGAGGGAAGCCCCGGCTTCTACTTCGCCTTTCCCACTGGCTTGTCACTCTGGCTCTGTCATTTAGGGCTTGTGGCTTTTCCCTGTTTCATGCACAGCCAGTCGAAAAGCTCCTTCCCCTACCCTGGGTCATGTGGAAGACGGAGTGTGTCACTTCTCTGACTGTTAGAAGCCATGGTGCCAGCATCCATCACATTCCTGAGAGGCTCCAAAATGTTGTCAGCTTGCCTTTTGGGTGATCTTTAATTCTCTTAAGCACAGAAGTCTGGGGTCGGCTGACTTTCTGTGACAGCGACCTTTCTCACATCTTAAGCTTTAATCCCGTGGGTGTGTGTGTGCCCACTTCTTGCTGGCTCTTGGGCTTGTGTACTCCAGACCTGGCATTGTGTGTGTTGCACACACAGAGTGTCATTGTGACCATGTGATACACCAGATGACCCGTGATGTTGACCAGTGCTGGGCCAGGTGACTGCAAGCCATCGATAGGGACCTAGTCGGGAGCAATGTGTCTGGCACGTTTTAGTCCGCAGGAAAGTCTGACTTTAGATTCTCCCAGTAGACTGTAAATATAAACACAAAACATTGAGCTGTCCTTCATGTGGCAGGGCTAGATGGTAGCTTTGGCTCTGTGTTGCAGACCCGGGGTGCTTGCTGCACAGGTGAGGTCACCAAAGCAGGGTTGGCTGACTTCGTCTGTAAGGGACTGGAGAAAATTTTAGGCTCTGCGGGCCACACCATCTCTGTCATAGCTGTTCAACTCTGGTGCCTCCAAAGCAGCCATACATTGTACTTAAATCAATGGATGTGGCTGTGTTCCAGTAAAACTTTATTTACGGTACCAGGCAGTGGGTTGGATTTGGCAGAAAGGTTGTAGTTTGCTGACCCCCAATCTAGGCAAAGCAGGACACTTTGGCAAGTGAAAGAAATCTTTAATAATTGTGATACTGGGAGGACTCCATCCCTGAGCAGTGTTACCAGTACTTGGGGAAGGCACCTAGGAATGGACCTTTAGGGGGAGACAAAAATGTAAGTAACTTGTGCCTTGTCTTTGAAGAGCTGCTAGAGAAGGGGTTTGGGGAAACACACCCCTGCAAGGGACCTTATTACTTGTTGCCATCACTTTTAGTTGTTGAAGCATGTCCCCTGGTGTCCTGCCTGCCTGCCTCTTTCCACCACCAGTCAGGGTGGGTTCGTGGCAGTGGTGGGCTTCCAGTGGCTGACGCAGGGTGTGTCCCTCTCCTTTGTCCCTGCAGCACCTGCAGCAGCATGAGAGCGGCGTGGAGGGCGAGAGCTGCTACTACCACTGTGTCCTGTGCAACTACTCCACCAAGGCCAAGCTCAACCTCATCCAGCACGTGCGCTCCATGAAGCACCAGCGCAGTGAGAGCCTGCGCAAGCTGCAGCGGCTGCAGAAAGGCCTTCCGGAAGAGGACGAGGACCTGGGGCAGATCTTCACCATCCGAAAGTGTCCCTCCACTGACCCAGGTGAGGTGTCCGTGGGCATGGTGGGCCAGAGCGGGCGAGGGTGCTGGTCTCCACGAGGCCTCCGAAGGGCTTCTGGTGGAGGAAGCCATGCCTGCCACTGGCCTCCTAGGTGGCCATTGTGTTCTGAAGGTCGTGGTGCCTTTCATTTTGTTTTTGAAGCAGCTTAGTGCTACTCTACTTCAGGGTTGTGCTCAGCCGTAAGGAAGGCCGAAGCCACTACCCAGAAGAGACCACAGGAGAACTTTGGTCTCCTACCTTTGGATGCTTCCAGTACATACTCTGGATTCCACTGTTGTGCATTTTGATCCAGCAGAGTCTGAATTGCCTGCCTTGTTTAGTATTAAGAGGAGACAGTTTGTGGGCTCCACATCTGGCCTGTGAAAGTGGACTTCAGGGAGGATCAAACCTAGAGCTCCTTATAAAAATCTTAATTGCACCTGAGAGAGGTTCTTGTCATTCTGTGAGCCCAGGCTTCTTGCTTCCCACAAAATCTGGATTTTTCTGGTGGAACTCGCCTAGTTTCTCCCTTCCCTTCTGCCATCTCAACTGTGGTCACCTTTTGTCCCTTGCTCCTTTTTTGTTCCCATTTGGAGCTCTTTGATAGGATCACCTCTTCTTTTCTTTGCAGTCTTGGGGTCCCTTCTCTTAACTTGGAAGCAAGCATAAGACAGTTACTTACCACATTAAAAACAGAGTGAAAGCCCCGCCTCTCTCCTCGATTCCCCCTGAAGAATGGTCTGCTTCACTCGTCTCTAGGCCACCCCCAGCCAACTGTGTTCTGCTGTCCCCGAACCACTCCAAGAAAGGTACCAGGGGTCTGGGACCTACCCAGCTCAGGGGCTGTGTGCTGGCCATCGCACTTTCTTCCTGTAGAGTTTGCAAGGGCTTTCTAGTCCCTTCTGGAAGCTCTTTTCCCCTGGCTGCTCGTGCTTGTCTCTCTCCTCTTCCCCTTGACAGTTGTCCATGGCCATTCCAGACTCTGCTCTTCAGCCTGACCCATGCTAGTGACCCTGGGCATCAGGCCTGGTCCTCAGTGCCCAGCCTCTGGAAGCCGTGACCTCCAGGTGTGGCCAGATGCCCGCAGTCAGCTCCCCAGGCATCTTGCTGGTCCCCCACTTGGGGCCCTGAGTCAGGACCCTCGCCGGCAGACCTTGTTTTCCTTCTTGCACGGTGTCTCCTGCCCTGGGAGTTGGGCCTGGAGGCCCCAGCCCTCCGTTCCGTCCCTGCAGCACGTTCGCAGCTGTTGAGGTCCTGTGGCTGGGGGAGGTTTGCATCATAATGCTACCAAACTGTACATTTTGTGATCTCCAGAGGTAAGACGTGTTTATGAATCGTATAAAGAAGGGCGTAACTTTGCCTTCGTCTCATTCTTCAGCGCTTTGAGATACATCTATCGTGACTTACTTTCTTATTTCTCAACAGCTTCTGCACCTCTTTCTTGATTACTTTTGAGTTTTAGATGTCTCGTGGCCTCCCAACCCAGAAGACGAGGGCTTCACGAGCACACTCTTCTGGAAGCTCTCCCTCCACCCCTCACACAGGCCCATGCCCAGGTCACTCACACACACACACACACACACACACACACACACACACCCTTACCCTTGTGCCAACACTTCCTCCCTCCCCACACGCAGCACCCCCTGCAAACATACTCCATAGCATGCAGCGCACCGTCCCCCTCGCCGCCTGTATCTTAATCCCGTATCTCCCAAGCAGCAGGCGTAGCACCCATGCGCACTCCACACGTGCACACCCCACAGATACTTCACATATACCCATCTGCCATGCGCATACCCCAGATACACCGGCCCTGTGGCCCCAAGTACCCATATGCACTTATGTACCTCATGAGCATAATGGAAACTCTCCATCCCTAATACACCAACAGACCCTGCACCTCATGCATGCCTCTGCCTCCCCCACGCTTCCCAACCCCCTCCATACTCTCTTTCCCTCTCCGTCTTCTAATAATTTGGGGCTATATTAGTATTCAGTGTTTTCATTATTATAACTCTATAAATATTAATCACAGCTGAGCCATGTAGAGTTCTATAATTTCATTTACCTTCTTGTACAACTTTTGTTTTCCCTGGTTTTCTGGGTACCTATGATTAATTCATGGCCCACCTCCTTCTGCCAGAGTAGCACTTTCCTAATCTCTGTGCTGTGTGCTGCCGGGTCCTCCATCTGCTTCATTTCCTGCTGGAGGGACCCTGTTCCTCTTGACCCTTGCGAACCTACTGCGCACCAGCTCCTGCCTTCGCTGTGGCTCCCTGCTCCACAAAAGTGAAGCTGCTGCACTCCCAGGGCAGGACACACTGCGGTTTAGGAATTTCCCTCCCCGCTGGGTTAGTTGAAGTTTCCTCTTCTGTCAATGTGTCCTCCTGACAGCCGGTTCGAATTGTCTCTTCAGGAAAGTACTGATGAGGACCAGGATAATTTCTGTCACTTACAGGTCACTTCAAGACTGTCCTTTCCTGTGTTTTCACATGACTGTTCTGGTTAAAATGTAAGTATTTACTTTGCAGCTTCTGCCTGTCCCGTGTGTCTCTGCCACATATCCCTGTGCGAGAATCCCCAGGGGCAGAGTGGGGACAGGCACCCACAGACCCTCCTCTGTCCTCAGAGCCCGAGATTATTGTCCCCACTTTAGTATTTGGCCTCTTCTCTTCTTCGTTATTCTGCTGTTGAGTTATTTCACGGGGGCCTCCCACCTTCTGTGACAGACATGTCTTACAGTTACATGTTTTTTTTTTTTTTTTTTTCTTGTCACTTTTTACTCTTCAGTTAAACTCTGGTCCCTGTCACCCCTCAGTTCTTTCTTTCCCTCTGCTCAGAACTCCTTGGTTTTTAGCGAGGTGCCCCAAACTAGCGCCCAGAGGCCTCCACGCAGGTCCATGGGCTGTGATGAACAGTTCCCCCTTCTATAATGCAGTACTCCTCCTGTTCGTGCAGTCTGTTCTGGAATTGCTGTCCTTCTCCACTGACTTCTGGGTCGCTCTCACTGAATACCTGTGAGCCCCTTTCCCCCAAATATCTGAGCAACCCGAGTGGAGATCTTCCCCTTCCTCTCTGTACTTCCAGGTCCTTTATTGTCTTTGGCGCCCAGTCGCCTCCCTCTACCCGCCCCTCCCACTCATGCCCCATGCACTCTGCTGGCGACAAAGGGACTGATTGTTAGGTAATACTTGCGCTGACATTAACAGGAGCTTGGCTCTGTTTTAGAAATCCCTGTGAGAAAACACATCTTAAAACATATCCTCCCTGTCCCCAGGGATTGGCTCTTAAAAAGTGGAAAGAATGTCTTCAAGAACAGGGACATTGCGAGACTGACATTTAAGATCATCAGCTTCAAATTTGTAAACACAGACTTCGTAAAGTACTCCTGGTTCTCGACACTTTAGCAGAAGGATCAGGACGTGATCCTCCAGCTGCAGGCGTCATTCATGTGGTACTTGAAGCACCGAGAAGCCTTTTGAGTCCCTCGCAGTGCCCTGCCTACTCTGACCCAGCGGCCCTGCTGCCCAAGTTCAACTATGACAACCGTCCTTTTTCTTTTTCTTTTCTGTTGTCCATGTAACTCAAAGTTTTATGTAAAAAACATCCAGAATCCCTTTTCTTTCTTTCTTTTTTTTTTTTCCCCCTTTCAGAGCCCAAGTCTGAGCCTTTGGAAATTATCAAGAGTGGAATGAACTCTGTCCTGTAGAGAACAGAAAGATTTCTCCCAGTTTGTGCCTGTCTTCTCCCAGTCAGCCACTCTCACCACATAGCCCAGCAGCCCATGGAAACCTGTTGGGCTGGAGGAAGGAGTTGAGAGGGAGGGGCTCGTGGAGGTCTCTGGCCTCCAGAACTTTCTGTCTATGGCCAGGATTGATGCTGTTGCCTGAGGTGTGAACTTGAGACCAGAGGGCCCTGCCCTGCACTGGCTGGGGGCCTTGGCTATGTCAGCCTCATGCGAGGCTCTTCTCCCCAGCCTCACTCCACAGAGGACTACACACGATTGGTCTTTCTGTTTTAAAAATGACTTGGACAGGTGGAGGGATAACTCAGTAGTAGAGTGCTTGCCTAGCACACCCACATGGTCCTGGAGTTGGTCCTCAGAAACAAAACACAACATGCCAAAAAGATGGAAACAACTTGGAAAGACACATCTGTGAAGAAAGATGAAGCCCTTGTTTCATCCTCACTTAGCAGTTTTAAATTTCTGCATGGACCTTTTTTTTTGGTCTTTTTGAGAAGGGTCTCCCTATGCAGCTCAGGCTGGCCTTCAGCTCACCTTGTAGCCCCCAGGCTGGCCTCGGACTCGCAAAGATCCTCCTGTGTCAGCCTCTTGAGTGCTGGGATTATAGGCATGCGCCGCCACGCCCGGCTGGATTTTTGATTATTAGTTTGAATATTTTTTTCCAAGAAATGAAATAGCCACTCTGTGGGTCCTGTTCTTTGTGCTCCTTCCCTCCCCACACTCGGGTCTGGGGGCCCATCCTGTGGGCTGCTACAGTAGGTTTTCTCTTTCAGTTGCTGGCGTCAGCTATCTGCTTCCCTTTAGTAGCTAGAAGCTCTAGAAAGGTGGAAAACTCTCATGTAGGTGGGGCATGTGTAGGGTCAGCTCCTCTGTTTGCCTATTAAAAAGGCATCGCCGGCTCTTGGAGGAAATCGTAGTTAATTTCACTTTTTCGTATCCTGGGCTTGGAGAAATACGAGAGACCCTTGGCTTTTTTCTTTTCTCTCCTCCTCCTCCTGTCTTTTTTCTTATTCCTCTTGCCTTACTACTTTTTCTTTCCGGTAGGCACAGATCTCCAAACTTGGCCTAAATATAATTAACCAGGCCCCCTTGAGGGCCTGCTGTGTTCAAGCCTTTTACTAGTTGGGGGACACAGCTGCGGTCTGCTGTCCACTGTAGAGTCACACACTGGCCCATCCCCCAGCCGAGGCCCGAGGGCATCAGACGAAGACTCAGGTTACAGGGTGCAGTTGTTCAGAGCGTGACCATCGTGCATGACACGAAAGCTGGCATCCCCTTTGAGAAGCACATCCTTGGCTTTCAAGGGAGTGAATTTCTGGGGTTAGAGAGGTAGACACAACTTGTCAGGGATGATGTGGTTTTAGTGGCAGCTTTTCCTGAGACATTCCCTGGCTTTGTTCAGTGGATCTTTTCTGTTCACCCGAGTTTCAGGGGGCTTTACTTAACTCAATGTAGCTTAAGAGGATAAGAAAACACACCATTTTCAGCTATTCCACTTGGCTTTGTTTTTATTTTTGAAAGTTGGCAGAAGCTGCCCTCTAAGCACAAAGTACATCTTTTTTTATAAATAGCTAAATTATATGCAATTTCAGTATAATTTTTCTCATAGGACAAAAATATGCTGTGGCCAGTTCTGTAGTTCTGAAGTTTTTTTCCCTGTATGTGAAACTTGCACCGCTCCAAATCTTCTTTTTTACCTCGTGTGTTCTTGGGGAAAGCATGGGGATGAAGTACATGCGACCCGAGAAATTAAATGTGAAAATATCCCCCCAAAATGGGGGTGATTGAAATTTTAAGTATTTATGAAGGAAGAGAGGAAATAAGGTTTTATCTGTTTTACTTTATCTATTTACTATTTCACCAGAATGGTAAATTGATGAGTGCTTTTTATTTATTATTATTATTATTATTTTTTGGCAGAACCGGGGATTGAACTCAGTCCCTTGCGCTTGCCAGGCAAGCACTTATTCTACTGAGCTGTCTCTCCACCTACCCACCCCTGTTTTTTTATGAGTGCTTTTTTAAAATATATGAGTGCTTTTTAGAAAGCTGCTTTGCAGTATAGATATAGAGATCCTTATGTATCCACATGAAAGGGGAACATAGTGTTCCATGAAAAATGGAGTTTATAGAATAACATGCAGCTTGGTTTTTAAAAAATCATTTCTTTTACATCTTTAAGAATGACCACATTGGGCCGGCCAGATAGCTCAGCAGACTGAAGTACCTGCTTAGGCAGAGCGCAGTGGCTGGGGTTCGATCCCCAGTGTGCCATGCTGGCCCTGCGGGGCCTGCAGAGACAGTGATGGAGACTGGACATGGTGGCGTGCGCCTGTAATCCCAGTGCTTGAGAGCCTGAAAACAGGAGAATCACTACGAGTCTGGTTTGTGTAGTGAGACCCTGTAGACTGTGTCCTAAATACAGGAAAAAAAAAATAATAAACCACCTTAACCAAAGAGTTTGTCCTTGGTGTATCCAACTGTTTCATGCCTGGGAATTTATATGGAATCAAAGAGTGTCAGGCATGTGGCAAAATCTCACAAATTGGCAGTACTTTTTTTTTTGTTTGTTTGTTTTAAAATTATTTATTTATTTATTTATTTATTTAGTACAGGATCTCACCACACAGCAGTGATTCTCCTGCCTCAGCTTCCCCAGTGCTGGGATTACAGGCATGCACCACCACACCTGGTTTTGGTTGCTGATAAGGTACAGGGCTAGCACGACATGTGGGTACCAGTGATTGAACCCAGGTCCTTATACTTGCCAGGTAGGCTCTTAGACCACAGAGCTACCTCCCCAGTCCCTGGTAGTACTTCTTTTTTTTTTTTTTCCCCCGGAACCGGGGATTGAACTCAGGCCCTTGTGCTTGCAAGGGAAGCACTTATTCCACTGAGCCATCTCCCCGGCCCTACTACTTCTTGATAGAGATTTTTAGCAAAATGACTAATAGTGTGCCAAGAAGTAAATCTCGACTGTCTTTTGTTCATGGAGGTAGTTTGCCCTTTGCCAGTGTAAAGCCCTTGGTTTGGCTACAGCCTGATCCCTTTGCATTTTGTGTCTACCTAGAGGGGCTGTACGGCTCACAGGGTATATGCCGTCTTGTTTTTCTGTTGGAACAGAGTTCTTGATTTGCCTTAATTAGTCCTCTAACAATCTACAAAGGTCAGTGCCAATTGCCTGCTCATTTACATCTGTAATTGTGGTGGCTTCTGATTGCATATTCCTCATCTCAGTGATTCCTCCAAGTGCGTGCCAGCGAATCCTCCCCTCCCCCTTCTCCAACAGTGTGCACACACACACACTCATGTACACACACACGCACACCAGAGTAGTGTGAAAACTGGAGGTCTGACTCCATGTAGAACCCTTCACAGTGACAGCCCAGCCTTTCCCAGACAGTCAGCATTCTACAGAAAGCCATCTTGGGAAGGCCTTTGCTTTTGAGTTAGGGCTATAATGAAGCCAGAGTCAAGGAAATTGCCTGGACACCAGGCAAGAAATCTGAGGGCCATTATCCAGGA